CGTAGGATGCCGGACAAGATCAAAGGCTTGGCCTTGGCTTTGGCTTTGGCTTTGGGGCCAAATTATGGCCGCAGGACGTGGTCAGAAGAGAGAACAAAAGTAAAACTCGTTTAAGACAAGACAACAACCCAACTAATTACGCGCTAATTAATAATTCAAATAATGTGCTCTTGTCCCAAGCACGACCCCTCTCGCGTATACGTAATATTTTTGCAGCCCTTTCATTGTTTATCTTGATTAGATGCCGTCGCCCACACCCAGCGAATGGGTTAATATTTTTTCATTTGTTTGCAAATGAATATCTACGAGCATTAGTCAAAAGCATTGCGTTCTAGCCTCGGGCAGAACTTTGATTTGCAGCGCTGCGATCCAAGTTCTTAAATATGCAATTTATCATCGGAAACTTTTGCTCCGGCTAATGAATGCGAATGCAAAATGTTAATGACAGCGCACCAAAGACGGAGTGAAACTTTTCACTCTTGTAATTAATTGAAGTTGTATGCGCAAACAGTAGCAGTTACAGTACCAGTTACACTTGCACAGTCCACAGTCAACAGTCACAGCTACAGTAGATACAAGTAATAAAAATTCAAAAGGGCAACGGGCGAGTGCACTGAGCGAAACCAAAGCAACTGGCAGTCAGTTACAGCTTCATCAATCAGCTGGTGATTTAATATGCGCGCTGAGTGCACGTTTATGATGTATAGTGTATATGCGCGCGGGCGATCAACAAAAAAAATACAAAGTCAAACAAAAATAATAATAAAGCAAACGTAAAAAGAAAACGAGAAGCGGACCAAAGAAGGCATCCGGGCGGGCACAACGCTGCGTATGAGTTATATATTAATTATTTAAGCGCTCGTTATATTCTGCATTGCGATGCTCACTTGGCGTTGGTGTTGGGTGTTGCTCGGTGGCTGTTGGGTGTTGGCTTTTAAAGGTTGGATGTGGCTGGTTGTCTGTTGGCTGCAGGCCGGGTCAGAATGACTGGCCAGCCAGCCAGCCAGCCAGCCAGCCAGTCAGTGCCAGCTCTCGTTTTCTCTGTTTGTGGCACTGCAGTGCATTTGTCTGGCGTCTGTCGGACCGGATTGAGGCCATTTGTTTGTGCAAATACCCTGCAATATATGTATATGAAAAATGTCGACACACAGATTGTTTTGCTTTAAATCAGTGAGTGTGTCAACAGTCGCTCTCACTCTATCTTCCCCTCTACCTCGCACTCGCAACAAAGGACATAAGCCTACACAATTTAAGCATATATGTCTATCCGCTCCTCCACCTGATGCTCATTTTTATAATGTCTACTCTCGATAAAGCTCTTCCTTTGTGGTAAAGCCTTTTACTTAACTCTGCTTCTAGTTTGGGTGTCCCCAGCCTTTACTTCTCGGTATGTCTCCTTCAATCAGTTTGTCATTTTTTTTCATTTATTTCCTTTCTCTCGCTTCGCTTCCCTCTTTCTAAAATTTCATTTCTTGTTTTATACTCACAGGGTACGTACAAGTCGAACATTCTCATATGACCACAAAGAAATTTGCTCTTGCTGCACTGGCCATTGGCCTGTTTTTTAGTCAAGGCTTCATAAAAAGCCATACATGAGTTTATGCGTGGGTGTGTGTGTGTGCGTGTCTCGTGGCAGCGTGAAATTGTTTACATTTTTGCCCTGGCCAGTGCTTGGTTTTTCAATGCGCATAAATGGAAACACATAGTTATGATGTTTTTTATATGGCCACAAATGTAACGGCCCGCCTCCAATTCCTTTCGCTTGGGCATAGGCACCGCAGGCCCAACAACTACAAAGAAGCATGCGAAGAAGCCCGCCGCTGTTCTGCATTCAGCTGGCACACACATCACATCAGCTCGGGGAATGCACAAAATGAATTAAAAGCGGGGCACATAAAGTCGACATGGCCATCGCTCATCGTATTGGAATGGGCACACATTGTCTTTGCCCAGTCTGGTTTGGCTGGCTTCGGTTTATTGTTGTTCTTGCTCCTGTTTCTGCTGCTGCTACAAATGCTCCCCAGTGCGCCGTTAAGAGCATAAAGAGCACTAAACTGCTGCCGGCCATGAATTATGCTTTAATTGTGCGCGCAATTTAAATAACTTGAAGGAACACACCGAAAACCGTGCGCCCTAACGTTAGCATTGTTGCATTAATTGGGCTAAAAACAGAAAGCTAATTTCTTCGATCAGTTAACTTCAATGAGAGCATAGTGTGTCTTTCAAGTCTTTCAGTTCTTTCTTGCTCAACAATAACGAGCTACACAATTCATTTAACAAACCTGCAAACTAGAGTATTTAATTTTCGATGTATCGCACTTGTTCTTTCATTCATTTCTTAACTGAAGTTTAGTAAACTTTTGATTGTGTGCATGTTTACCAAAATTAATAAAGCCAAATCAATTTTTAAAATATTTTCCATTTTGTTTACCGAACTATTTTGTACATAAATTCTGTAAATTCTTAAAGGTAAAAGTTTTTAATAAAGTTGAGATAAGTTGCTCTCAAGAAAATGGTATGCAACATATTTAAAAACTTTGGTAAAACTTGAAATATTTGCTGAACGTTTGGACCTTACCTTAACATGTCCAAGTCGTGAATACTCTTTTGGGCAGTGTACACAAAGTTAAAGGCAACACCTCAAATCTAACAAATGCGGCTAATAAAATGTTAGCTACTCTCGTATATTTTACGACTGAATGTGCAAACATTTGCGTTTAGTTCTTCATGAGAATTAAAATTCCTGCACCTGTTCGCGCAGTTTTCTGAACCGCCCCCGCCCAGAGTCGGTTTCTGGTAGCTTAAGAGTAGGTTCCTTAAATGCCAAGGCGCAAATAAAAACTTAATGCAATGCGCGAGCTGCCATCAGGCGGCTGTGTGGGTGTTTGTGTGTGTCTTTGTTGGGGGGAGGCGTGGCAGGTGCACAACTCAAGTCATTCGCCTAATGAATGCGCCAAAGTGAAGTGAGCAAAATTGAAAAAGCACAACGAAAGAAAACGCTGCAAAATGATGAAAATGAAGCGCATTGACAGCAACAGGCGCAAAATCTGAATAAATAATACACAGGACGAAAAAAATAAATAAAACGGAGATGGGAGAGAACGAGAAAGAAAAGCAGAAGCAGAAAGTTATCCAAATGGCAAAGCAGTAAAGAAAAGAAAAATATTGAAATGCTGATTAAGTTTACTTTACGCTGATTTGCTTTTGGATTCAGATGCTGCCTTAGATTTGGCTTAATTTTAACGCCCTGTTGGCTGCTGGCCGCAATCAACAAAGCTGCCGGAATGCAAAACTCCAAAGAATCAACCGCTTAATTGTTGCAGCCAGACGCAGCAAATGAAAAACTGTTTAGTCTGAAATAGGGGCATGAATCAAACCGGAAATTCAAATGAGCCGAAGCGAGACTTCAACTAGGAGAAATTGTTTTTTGCGAAAGTATAATAATAATTTAAAATATTTGAAAATATTTGACAACTTTGTAGGTTGGGCAACACCTGTTTTTGTGGCAGTGGCAAATCAGTTTCATGCAGAAAACCTGAAAGCAGACAGTTGAATCGAACCGTAAACCGAATCAGTGTTAATTTTGTATTTTGCTTGCAGTCCTAACAAAAGTTATCTCCTTTTCTCCTGCTCCCTCTCTTGTGTACTCTTAATCATAACCATAACTGATTTGTGAAATTTTGCACTCAAAGTCAATAGAACTTTTTTAAAAAATCTAGTGGGATTTTATATCCAGCTAGTAATCTCTGGCTGTCACATAATTTACCTCACGCTTCTCATACCCGCTTTACAGAGGCAGAGTATAGCACAGTGCAATGCAAATAAATGTTAAGCAACAATCGGCGCACATATATGTTAATTCAATGACTGAATGTTGATTTGGCGACGCACAACTCTTGGCTAAGTCCTGGGAGCGGCATTGGCAACAGCTTGCGCTCATTAACTTTGGCTACAAATATGAGCAAGCGTGTCTGTGAGTTTTTGAGGATTCCGGTCTGGGGTAACAGCCTTATGTTTGCTTCTCAGTAGTTACAAATCAAGCTGAGATCGGGACACGTGTTGCTTTGATATTTGATGAGCAAAAGTTTCAGCGCCTCAGCAACTAAACGAGCTGCCACCATCCTCCCGCTCTGCCTACGTCCCTTCCTCACACTGTCTAACAAAAGTCAAACAAAAACAAACTTTTTTACCAGCCTTGCATGTATATTGATGTATGCGTGCATATGTGTGTGTATGTGTGATAGCAATTATAGTAATTGCTTAAAGTGGCGCTTCGTAGGGTCCTGGCCAGAATTTATGGCCCGTTCGTCGGTTCATTAGCATAAAAATCAGATTACTTTACTCATAATGTGCATATTTTAAAATATATGAATGTCTCTTGGCTTTTTTTTGTTGTTGTTCCTGTGTTTTGACTGGGCTGTTTATATTATATATATTTTTTTCTTCTGGTTTATCTCATCTTTGCTTGTTGATTCAAATGAAATATATTGTTATGGCAAACACGCAGGACAACAGGGACATTGAGCAAGGACCCTGGGGGCGTCTCTCCGCTTGGCAGCTTTATTAATTTATATTGTTGACTTTTATCAGCGGCGGCCCAATGCGCGGGCATGTCAATGTCAACGCTGTGTCGTCTTGCCGCGCATCACACCATCCAGCCACCGCGCACCGCCCACCTGACGCCTTATCAGCAACACGTGTAATGAATGCCTAAACTGTCATTATCACCTTCTGGCGCGTGTTATGTTTTTCGGTTGTCATGTCAGCAAATATTGTGTAAAGATATCCGCGCCTACACGGCCCGCACCCCAACACTTACAAGTAACAAGAGCTGCCCGTTTGTAAAGCAAACTGCGGGCAGCGTGCTTCTCATGCTGCCAAAATGTGACACATATCAACATTTAAGTTGCCGCGCACACTCGGGTATATGTCTGTGGGTGTGGGTGTGTGTGTGTGGCCGGATGCATTTCTGTTCGGAAATAAGTTAAAGACGTGTGTTGTGAAGTCACAATTTCCAGATGGGATTCACTTCAAATTTATTGTCAGCTCGTTATAAAATATGCTGGGCGGCAGTTGGAGAAAGAAGACGGAGAACAAATCTGTTCCTTAAGAAATTATATTTCACAGGTAAGGCATCCCGATAAAAATCGACTTCAAAGAAAAGAACTTGATCTGCGTTTCGGTGCACATCATTTTTAATTTCTTGTTTGCATAAATTCTTACACAACTTTATTATACCTTTAACAGTATACTTCTTAACAATATCTACTCGATCAGAGCTTCATGCTAAAAATAAAAATTTCAATAAAACAAAAGAGTCTGCTTATCCACAAGTGTGTCACTTGCACGTTACCCAACTCACTTTTGAGACAATTATCTGTGGCAGTGTGGCAGGTGTTGGTTCGCTTCGGGCTGCTAGTCGGTTTCTTCAGTCCCATTACTCATACGCCCCGTTGTGCGTGTGCCTGTGTGTGTGAAGGGTAAACAAGCTTATGAAAAGCCGCACGCTTGCAAATTTTCGCGCTGTTGTTTATATTTATGCGCAGGCACAGCTCCCACAACAGCAACAACAATAACGAAGCAAAACAATAAGTATAACAACAAACACTGCAGGAACAACAACAACAACAGCAAACACCTCAAGCAGTGCGCATTGTTGTTGTTTGGCCTGTCGTAGACGACAGAGCAATAAGTCATAAAAAGAAAAAACTTGTAAAGGGCTCTTAACTTTCACTTTCATCTTTGTGGTGTGTTACTCCATTGTAGCCGAGCGACTTGGCTCGCTGACTGAATGACCGAATGACCGAATGACTGAATGCCTGACGAGCTGTCCTCATTCTGCACTTGGACGGCGCTTAACTTTTATGGTGGCCAGCCCAGGACGAAGCCACTATATTTCCAGCCGGTCGCATGAATAGCCAAGTTGCGATTACAATGCCAAGGCAGAGCGCCTAGTGTGTGTGTGTGTGTGTGTGTTTGGAGAGGGGTTAGGGAGGGCGAACGGGAACCGCGAACCGGGGACCGACGGGCGGTCGCATAAATAAGAAAGCAAATGTAAGTGATGGACTTTATTTTAATATTGGCCGCGAAAGCCCGCAATGTGTTCGCGTCCGCGTTCGCCATTGGCATTCACATTTTGTTTAATATTAAGAAATTTTCGTTTTGCTTAACATAAGTATATATTATATTTTCCCTTGCCGCCTTTGTTTTGTGTTGCTATTTTTTTTTGTTGATGTTTTCCTGAAGGCTTTTCCGCTTAAGTGAAATGAAATGACTGGACGCTTTATGAGATATCTGCGCAGCGCTAATGAAAATATGTTTCGAATGTAAATTGGGACATTCGCTAGGGCTTTTGGACTGGTTTTAACGACCAGTCGGACGTTGTGTCTTTGGCCTTTGGGCCGCAACCATTTCCGGCGCCTAATGAATTTGTCAATGCCTGACCCACATTCATGCCGACGCCGCTTGGGTCCCAGCTTGGACCAGACAGACGCCCGTCTTATCAGCGGTGCTGAGTGAGGCCAACTGTGAGCTGGACATGCTACCCTTTTCAATTTGCTGATATGTACAATTAAATGTGTCCCACTGTGATAATCACAAGGCACAAGATACAAACGAGCCGGCATTCAGATGTGGTCAACCGTTGCCCTGTGCTTGTTAGCCTTGCGCTATCTTTAGTCCTTGATACCCGAGCTAATCAAACCCTCTAAAAGGTTTATTAGTGTTGCTACACAGCATGAGTCCTGGCAATCGTGAACAATTGGAAACAAAATCTCGAACCGAAGTGTTCGTTGGGTATATTAAAAGTCGGTGCAGTTTATCATTTGCAGACGTGGACCAGCAGCAACAGTGTTTTTCCCTACAATGGCAATCGCATGTAAGAGTCCTGGACAGCGCGGGCCGAATGCTCGGCTCGTTATCGCCGCCAAGTTGCGCGATGCGCCATAAATCTTTTGCCTGATTTATGTCGCAGCTCGACATTGGCCTCAAATTTATCGCAGCAGCAGGTCGATGATAGCTGCGCCCAAGTCAGAGCCACGGTCACAGCCAATGTTGTCCTGGCTGGCGACAGCGTTGTCCTGGGCCTGACCGTCTTTTGTAACTGGGCCGTTGGCTGACATCCTTTTGCAACGCGTCGGCCGTCTTTAAGGAAACTGCCACCGCAAGCAGTCAAGTGTGCGTGCTTGTGTGTGTGTGTGTGGCCGGCTCGCATGAGTGTCCTGCGAGTGCGCCCAACTCAATGTCTGTCGCCGTGTGACTGAGCTTAATTATCATTGCCGCGAGTTGGCGCCTCGGTCGCGCCTCCATGGCATTTTGTGTGACTTCTGTCGGAAATTAATTTCCTTTCGGCTTGTTCACACTCGCGCGCTCTCACACATACATACGGAGAACACTCGGATATACAGGGATATGCGTGCAGTTGCTCAATGTCGTTGTTTACTTAGTGTGAGTGGTAATGCTTTTGCTCAGCGTTGTATTTGCGTTAAATTTTGTATGAATAACGGAAATTCGCGGCTTTCCGGCATTTTAAATTCCCATTAAAGTGCTGCAGGCAACTGCAACATAGACACATACACACACACACACTTTCCACACAACAAAGACAATGCTTTGCGGCTGCGGTTAGCGGTCATTTGTGAATTGTTAAAATTTAAAACCAACGTTGAATGCAGATCTATTTAACAAATTGCCCGCAAATGTAGGCAACAAAGTTTAAAGTGGATTTCCAAGCACGCGCTCAAAAGTAGGCAACACATTTTAAATTGAGATTTGCCTGGGTTGCGCACAAAAGTAGGCAACAAAAACAGTTTGACACGAAATGAAAAATGAGTTAAGCGCAGGCAATTCATCAAAAAGTGACTGCGATTGAATATACGCGGGCTGTTTGTTAAGTAACCAAAAACCCGCCACATCAGGCGAGTTTTTACATTGTATTTGCTTACAATCTGACTAAAATTACATGGGAAACAGCAATAAATTCTTGCAAACTGTCCAATTTGTAATGTAATTCGAAATTGAAAAAACAATTAATTAGACTGTGGCAGCAGCTGCTTTTTGCAGACTGTCAACCTGGTTATGATAAGTAGTTCATCTCCAAAATTGGCCCTAAGTTGCAACATCTTTTGCAGTGCAAATGATGTGGCCCAAAGCAGCTTATTGCGAAAGCCACTTACGCCGCAAATTAAAGCCAAGTCTGCAAATATACAACTCGTTGTGCATGTCCTTTCCTTTTAGAAGTAGCATATTTGATTATGCTTGGCTGTGCATATGTGCCAGAGCGTCTCGACGACAGCTGTGTGCCGCTTATTGCCAATTATTGTCCATAAATTGCGCATTTATGAGTCGACATACGGCCAGAGTGTTGTGTGCATGTGTGGGTGTGTTTACCTTTTTCGTGGGCGCCTCACAAATAAGCTCGTATTTTGTGTCTAATATGGCCCATTAACAGTCTCGGCTTCTAGCCAAATGAACAGCGTTCGAGGCATGGCAATTGTTGCACTGACTTCTGTTGCTGATTGCCTTCAGACAGAGGCTGTGCAAATATTTGGCCAGAGGTTAGCCACTGCCGATAGTCTTGGGCATTAAACTCGACTTTATCGATGCCCAAACACAGCAGAAGCAGCAGAGGAGAGAAACTATCTTAAAGTAGGCTCTGCTTGGCTAAGGGATGCTCCAGAGCAAGCAAAATATTAAGTTTCAATATTAAATTGATGAATTAAGAAGATGTGCTAAAACAGATTTTAGAGATTCGTGGAGTAAACTGAGTCCAGCCCCTATACACTTGATTTGTCTTTATTACAGGGTAACATATCCTCGAGGAGTTAGTTGAATTTCATTATTGTGCGGCTTTGTGTCGGCTTAAAGTCAGGCAGCTAGCGCTGATTTGTTTTGCCAGGCACTCTTCCCAACGCCTGTTGGGAAGTAAATCAATGGGGCATATGCGATTGGATGCAAGCAAATCCCGCGCCAATCGCAGCGCACACCCTAGTTCAAAGTAAATCTATGCATGGACGCCACTTTCTGCGCACATTTTTCACATTAACTGGCCGCGTCGTCGACGTCGCTGTCAGTAATTTTGTATGCACAGTCAGCTGGCAGGACAACAAATCACTATCTGTGGCACAGCAGGAACTGGAAGCCAGCCAGTGTGGAGCAGTGCAACACCAGATAAATAAACAGTTGCGTTTCGACTCGTTGATAGATCGACAGACGATTTCAGTTTGTTGGCGCGAAATTGCATATGGGGGCGTGTGTGGGGCGTGGTTGGCAAAAGACATGGTAATGCGTTAGACGGTTCAGTCAGTCAACAATAACAAGCAAAATCGTTGGAGTCGTGTGCGGCAAAGCCAAACATGAATAAAAGCGCATTTAGAGCCATATTAAAGACATCTACAGAACTGGATCGATAGGTTATTTCGATAGTTTTCTGTTTACATAATCGTTAGACGCAATAAAATAGTTGGGTTTCACCCAGCCACGCCCCTTTTGAAATCTGGTGCGAAGAGTATGCGAGAATTTAGAGCATGTACCGTCGCCAGCTCGGAAGAAATTTAACTTATTTTTCACATTTCCACGCTAGGCATTGAAGGAACTTAGATGCATAGACACTTCCTGTTGTTTGAGTTGATTTCCGTCTTTGCATAAGCTTTACTTTCGATTTTGTTTTGTGCTTGGTGCATGAAGAGAATCTCATTGGGAGCTTGCAGCAGTAGCTAGCTGAAGGCATGCCTTACGTTTCTTGCATTTCTCAGTGTTCGACTTTTGCCTTGCTCAAGTTTTATGCAGAGTTTTTCGTTATCATGTTCTTGATTTATGAAACTGTTTTTATTATTTTCATATTGTTCGAGCAACGGGCGGTCTAAGCAAGACGCCTGCTGCCCACGCCCCAGCACTGATTTCAGAAATCACAAGAGTTTTTTCTTTCCGTATCGTTCCTCTTGTTCTGCCAAACCATCTTCATTCCATTCCTCACATTCAGTTGCTACATCGTTTTTTTGTGAGTTGCACCAGAAATTCGTATTCCATTCTGATGGCCATGGTTGCAAACTTTCCTGCAGATTAGAGAGGGGCAAGCCGCGGGGTAAGTGCTGTGGAAGGGTTGTAAGAGTTAGTGCAGTGCATGGCGTGCACGATATTTCTTACAAGTTCTCAAATTTGATTTTTGCTGTTTGTTGTGGAATTTGAAATGATTATGGAGCATTTCATTCCACCTCGCCCATCCCATCCCAACCAACCCGTTGTCCCTTACTCGGCAAAAGTTGCATTATGCGCTTTGTTGGTCAACAAGAATTTTTGGCTGTTGAAAGTTTCTGGCCAAAAACGGCTCCCATATGAATAATGCATTCATGCGGCTGGCAACTGCACCACCATCACCACCACTACCACCAACAGCATCAACGTCAACAGCAAAAATCTGAGCATAATTTTGAGAAAATTTTAATTTCCAGCACGGCAAAAGGCACTCAGAACTCATTTGGCAGTTATTAATACATCGCTTGAATTGCATTTAAAGCCAATCACGCGTTAAATATATTGCCATACAGCAAAATCTGAGCGGATTGATCAACTAAT